AATGAAATGTAAAATAGTATAAAGTGTGAATGCATTTATGTAGAATTTGGTTGAGAAACTCTATGTGCATGACACGTCATCATATTCATACTCAAATTGTTGTGAGATTGCCACGTGGCAAACATAATGTGAACGCATTAAATAAAAATGGTTCTCTTTTAATATATAGGAGATAAGCTATTATTAACAGAGATTTCTATTTTAACCAAATAATAATGATGAATCAAAAATTACTTTTAACAAATATATCATATCTAAAAGATGAATACAATAAAATCAGATTTGACTATTACCATCACTATTTCAAAAGATATACGATGAAGTGACATCCAAGTCACTATGTCCTTTACTAATCTTAATATCCTTCATCTTTTAGTGAAAACATGAAAACTTGATCTTACCTTTTTTACTTTTTGAATTAATATTTAAAAAAAAAAAAATTCAAATACAAAATTTCAAATTCAGATTTTTCAGAAATTTTAAAAATTTAAAAATTCAAATTTTAGTTTATTGACGTATAACTAGTTAGTGGTTTAGGAAGGTCTTACAAGGATCAAATAGGAGTTGAAAGTTTCGGTTTACAAGGATGCCGGAAAACCGATCAGCCCTTCATGCATAAATGAAATGGCTTATATGGACGATGTCTTGCTTATGAGAGCAACTTTGCACCATGATTCATACAAAGATGGATTGCTCCGATCTATTGGACATGATTGACAATCCCGCCGACTGGCCGGCCTTCGCATCTGAGCTTGTTTCTTTCCTTTTTTTTAACGAGTCGGCTTCTCGGAGTTCAGCATCGGTCGTATACCCAGGACTAGGAATTTATGCACAGATTCTTTCGCCAAGGAAGTAAGAAGGAGAAATACTCTTTTTGCTATATTGATCAGACCCAGACGGACAAAGGGTCTCCATAGAACGTCTCAAGGCAGTCTACCACTTGATCTTAAGATGGGCAATGACAAAAAAAAACTGCTAGAATAATTCTACTGAGGTAGTTGAACTGAGTTATACTAGTTCTACTGAGGTAGTTGTAGTGAGTTTTATTGAAATAATTATACCAAATTCTACTAGTTTTAATGAGATAGTTGCACCAAGCTCTATTAGTTTTACCGATGTAGTTGTACCGAGTTTTAATAGGTTTTACTGTGAGTTAGTCATATTAAGAATTACTAGTTCTACTGAAGTAATTATACTAGGTTCTATTATTTTTTCCAAAGTAGTTATACCTAGAGGGTGATTGGTGATGGCTGTGAGTATTACACACAGCTTTAAATCTCTACAGCCACGATATCAAAGCAATCATGTTTCGATTACCTTTTTGAAACTCACAGACAAATCTAAATTTTATTTTCTTTTATGGCTTTGGAAAGCAAATTCTCTACAACACTAGTTCAAGTGCTTTTGAAAATATTATTCATCTTTCCTTACTAAAACGTTGTCTTTCTTCTATAATGATATATTTAGAATACATATACAAATATATATTTAACTAATTTAATATAATCATATATACTTTACTTATATACTCCATAAAAATATTACAAATTCTATATACTCTATGTACTTATGAAAACGTTTTGTTTTCTCTTTGCTAATATTTTTTTGATATATATATACAATATATGTATAACTAGTTTAGTATAGTAATATATTTATTTACTTATATTTTCCACTAGAATATTATAAATTATATATAATATATGTAATTCTCTATATAGATAAATGTGATATATAAATATAAATACAAATTTCACGTACATATAATAAAAATTGCATATGTTAACTATATATCATAATTATTTTATAATTTATACTTACATATAATAAAAATTTGCTTATGTTAACTATATTTCCTGATCATTTTGTAATTTATATATTAAAATAATGTATAAAAATATAAACACAAATTTTACATAAATATAATAAAATTTATAAGTTGTAATTTATTTTTAGTTTAATTTTTATTTAAATAAAAAATAATTATGATATATAGTTAACATATGCCATTTTTATCAACTAAACTATTTCTGTGTATAGTAAACACTATTTAAGTATAATTTGATTTTATAACGTGGTTAGTTAGTTAACTTAGTCAATTTAGTTTAGGGTTTAGGGTTTAGAGTCTGAACGACTTATTATTAAGTCGTCTAGTAAATATATTTAAGATAGACGACTTACTAGTAAGTCGTCTGATGTAAAATATTCAACAGATGACTTACTAATAAGTCGTCCAAACCGGACCAAACCTTTGATTTTACCAATTTACTTTTAAACCTAACCGGATTTTTTACTAGACATATATAAGATATTTTTTTTACTCATTTTTTCGTGAAATTCAGAAAATCCTAACGTTGTTTCTCTCAAAGGTGATTTCCGTCGAATCTCTCTAATCCATCGTTCTCACCGCCGGTTATCTCTCCGCCGTTATCACCACCATTCTCACCATCAAAAACTAAAATGACTAAAACAACATTTTTTTATTTTGAAAAATTTAAGCTTTTTTATTTTAAAAAATTTGAAATCATATCCCGGAAACCCATTTGTCAACTCTAAACAAAAATATGATTAGTTAATCCAAAGAATATAAGTGTATATTTACTTATTTTGATAAATCATTTAAGTTTATTTTGATCAATTTTATTTTTAAGGTCTATATTTGTGACAAAAAAAATTTAGATCTATCCTAAAAATTTATGTTTTTATATTATTTTATTTGTTTATCGGGTTTTTGTGAGAAAATATCTCGTAGACCCTTTATAATTTCTAATAGTATAATTATACAGCATTAAAATAAAATTAAAGTAGACAATCAATAGAAAAACGTAATTGGACGATGAGTCCAGGTAATATTTTGTGAATAATGATTGTCATCTATCTAGATTCACTTTCAGATCTCCCATAGCTACGATCTAAACAGATGAATTCAGTAGGACCCTAGTATACAGTATACACATTTTTTTTTTCTGGACAAGTATACAGTATACACATATTATTTTAACATAAATCCTAAGAAAATACAAAGTAGATTCTTTGACTATGACTATCCGACAAAATCAATGGAGATGAGAGAAGCCGATGTGTGGATCCAACGCAAGGTCCAAACTTTCATATTTGCGACTGGTGTTGTATATCATGACATCAAATTTGCATACTAATATAAAAATATATTGTAGCATACATATTTCAAACCATTGGTTGATGGGCAAGATTCTTATATTATAATTTTTTGAACAAGTACCCATGAAGGAGTAAAATGAGAATCCAACCAGCATAAACTAAATAAATAAATAAATAGATAGAGATTCGATTGGCCTTTCCAAAATATTTGTCTCGGTTCATAATTTCGAAGAGTATGTTGGCACTTGGCAGTAGCATACTTTTTTCAACAAAATGTATTTGCATGTTTGATTTGTCAGACAAAACTATTCTCTGCACATGACATGGTGAGTCAGAATGTGCCTAACTACATCATCCATTATTCGGTTTTGTCATATAAAAAATGCATCACTTTGTTAAATAACTGATTTTAAAATAGCCAAATCAGACAAATGAATATAATTTCGACGAAATCTCCCAGGTTTTTAAACTAAAATATAGATTTTGAAATGATTAGCAAAGAATAGGTGGAGAAGACTAAAAGATTGACATTCACGACTAAAAGATTGATATTCTTCTAAGTGATAAGTGCTTTCGTATTTTCTTAGTTACCAAGATATATAGTTGATATTGGAAACGATGAATTTAGAATCCTATATTAGCCACTAGTAAACAGGTGTCCAATATCTATTGGATTAAGAGCCAGAGGAGCATTTGCAAAAGTGATTCTTTGGAAAAAATCTTCAACTACACAAAAGCTCGAAATCGGAAAGCAAAGAAAAAGGAGGAACGAGTAACCACATTTTTGTGTGCCCCTAATCCCATGGTTTAGTATCTTTGACTTTCACGCACCACTTCTTTGAAACTGATAAATAAGCTTTTCACCGACATTTATGAAAATTTAATTACCCTAACACCGTTGGACCAAACCATTTATCAGGAACACATAAGAGAGGTGAGAGTAAGCTATTCGAAGACAATGATAAGAGTTATTTTACAAATAGGTCATATCATTGGCCTAAAATAACAGAAAGTTAACTGCATTTGTAATTAAAAAATGATTATTAATGTTGTCATCTTTTTTTTTATCTAGAACAATTATTTTGTAAGAATATAGTCGTATAGATTGTGTAAACAATACATAAATGAAATAGCCAATATTTCAAATTATTTTTTTCTAGACCTCTAGTTGCAAAAAATAAAATTTTATTTTATTTGAAAGAATATTAAAGTGATGTAATTTATTTAAACAATTAGCATATATATATATATATATATATTTGTTGATTATAAAATGCTATTTAAAACTAAATGGTCCACAAAGAATGGCAACAGAAAGTGAAATTTAAATAACGTTAAAGACGATGATTTGGATCCTACCAAAAAAAAAGACGATGATTTGGACTAAAAAAAATTTACTTACAAAAAGTGAATATAATCAAAAGTTTATTATATTTTCCTAAATATAATAACATTTTTTATTAGAAATTCCTTATGTTTTCTAAATATAATAATACATCTCGACTAAGTTTCAATAATATCCAGCTAGAAAATTTGAGACGACCCACAAGTCCCATAATCAGGTTTTAACCCACTGATTTTAAGAAAATGAAATGTGAATGTTAAAAAGGTAAAATGTAGATCAATCATAATAAGCATTGAGAAAATTTGACCAAAAAAATAAAAATAATAAGCAATGAGAAAAAATCAAGAGTTTGGTTACTTTGGTAATATGATGAATGAGTCAAGTTGCGAGTAAGATGTAAAAACTCGAAAGAGAGCGAGTGAGATAGATAAGAATGTGAGAGATACGCGACGAAGCGAAGAGTCTTCGAGATATCTTTTTTTTTTTTTAAAAGAAGGAAGAAGATACCCCACAACACCGCACCAATATACAGAATCTTCTCTACTGTTCCCCTTCCTTCAATCTTCTTCTTCTTCCTCTTTCATCATCTTCTCCCTCTTTAAAGATTCCATCTTCTCTTTCTATAAAAATCGCTTCAGACAGATCTCTTCTCAGGTTGTTACAGCTCACACTCGACAGGGTTTTGTCATGACAAGAAGAGTTTGAGTTTTTTCTTTTTCTTTTTTAAAAGATCGATTTTCTTAACATTAAAAAGAAAATGGGTTCGTTAGGAGATGAGCTTAGTCTAGGATCAAGAAGACACAGTTCGATGCCGACAAAAGCTTGGAAGATCATGAATGTTAAAAAGCTTGAAGAAGAGAAGAAGAAGATCCAAGGCAGTGATCTTCAGCTTCCTCTCTGTTTACAGATCCTAAATGATGGTTGGTGTGATCTCATCTTTCCCAAATATTGAGTATCCGAATTTGATTAAGGAGAAGCTGAAACTCTTTTTTTTTTTTTTTTGTGCAGCGATTTCGTATTTGAAGGAAGAAGAGAACAAGAGATGTTCAGAGATGGATACTCAACCATTGTTGAAAGATTTCATGTCTGGAGATGGTTCATTGCTGAAAAGAGAGGAGCTTATAGAGGAGAATAAGTTTCAGCTATGGAGAGAAGGAAATGATCACATCCCAAACGGAAGATTCTCAGACACGAACAACAAACTAGATATTGAGGTAATAAGACTTCTGACATTGAGTTAGCATTTTAGAAAAATTGGATTGACTCTAGGAGACAAGGATTGAGTTGGTTTCTATGTTGTTGAATCCTGGCATTATAGGCTCCAGAGGTAGAAACCGGTTTAGGTCTCGGTTTAGCTTCTAGTTCGATGGTTAACGGAGGAAGAAGAAAAGGGAATGCCTCTTGTGGATTTACATCTAACTCTGTGCCACAGCCACCAGCATTTCTTCAGCAGCAAGCGTTGTTGCGGAAGCAAAGAAGGTGTTGGACTCCTGAGTTGCATCGCCGTTTCGTTGATGCATTGCAACAACTCGGTGGTCCTGGAGGTAAAAACAAAATCTTGTTCTTGAAGTTTGGTTTTGCTTAATATAGAATGTGTTATAATCTTTTTGTTTTATTTGAGTTTACAGTTGCAACTCCTAAGCAAATCAGAGAGCATATGCAAGAAGAAGGCTTAACAAATGATGAAGTGAAGAGTCATTTACAGGTAACATAACTAAAAAGAAAAGTTAAGGCCTGTTGTTACTAAGAACACATCTTTACATGTTTCTATGTTATATGTAGAAGTACCGGTTACATATCAGGAAGCATGATTCGAATCCGGAGAAACAATCAGTAGTTGTTTTAGGGATTAACTTGTGGAACTCATCACAAGGGGAAGAAGAAACTGGTGAAGGAGCAAAGAGAAGCAACTCGCAGCAGTCGGGTTCTCCTCAGGGTCCATTGAACTTACCTTCTACAACGACTACTACAACATTTGGAGATAGTAGCATGGAAGATGCTGAAGATGCTAAATCCGAGAGCTTTCAGATTTGGAGAGATTGAAATCTCCATAGACCTCAAAAACATTTTTCAATTACTTCGTTTTTCTTATACTGGATTCACTACTATGCTAGTAGTAGTAAATGAGAACAATAATGATAGAAAGGATATATAGGTTTATTATATATATAGAAAGTGAGAGAGCAAAAGAGTGAGGATTTTTGTGTACGGCATTTTTGGTTGGGTTTTAATTGAGGTATTACTCTAGTAGTAATCTTAATATTTGAAAATATGCTTTGAATTTTATTGATTTCTTTTATATATGGTTTAAAATTATATACAAATTTAGCGTTTTTTAGCATGGTTAATAAAAAGATTTTCATGGATTCCTTCAAGCGCAAGAAACTAGGTAGTGTGTGTTTCCGCATTTAATAAATCCTGGCCAGTGCATTCTCCTGGAGTACAGTTCACACGAACTAACCCATCTCAAAGTAGACTAACCAAGTTTCCAAAGGTATGACAATTGGTAATGCAAAAGTTCCTGAGATTATTATTATCATGTCTTTGTCTTCAGCAGTTTCAGCAAACCAGAAAGTACTTTCAAGTCTACTTTTAGTACTATTTGTATTCGTAACAAAGGATCCTCATATTTTGCATTTCTTTTAGGCGAAATGGATTTGAGATAAATTTGAAAATCTAATGTCAACACATAAAATATCCATAACAAAGCAGCTAGTGCCTTATAAAATTGACAACTATAGGAAATAGAGACGGAGTAAAAGATTGACCAATGAATTGAATACTATATAGGAAAGCCCATCCGGTTATTGATTCTGATAAAAGACTAATAAATTAAGATTTAAGAATAAAAAGCCTTGACCAGAAAAGCATGAACAAGCCAAGCAGCTAGTGCCCTTATAAGTCATAGAACTCTTCCTCTGTCATTGTTCTGCATTTGGCAATTTCTGGTATCTTCTTTGCCCTAAAGAACTATGCTGCCAAACGTGCATATAAACCATCTGAAGATAACTACGTATGCGCAAGTTGCCGAATTTTCGTTAATAACAAAATCACTTGATTTATGAAGTTGGTGATATGAGAGAAACTATCAAATACATGTGTCTTTACAACCATTGAGTCATGTCCTTGAACTCAAATTCCAGAGCGATGTGCCGCATTGTATGGTAGCTCAATTTTCTCATAGGGTCTGTTCTTACTCAGTATATCAAGAAACCAAATTCATTATTAAGAGGTCTATCTCCAGCTAAATCTATCAATGAAGCAATAGGTTGATCATCTATATACTAAAGAGAAGCCGCGCCTTTCACTGCATCCATGTCGTCTCTTTCTAAAGTTCCACAAACCGAGACTACTTCTTGTCTAGCTTTTATCATCTTGGCAGTTCTGTTTTTGGACAGGGAACTCTCCGCTTCAATAGTTACCTGAGAATTCAATACAGAAAGAGTGTGCACGGGTGGTGATACAAATTTGGAGAGGTCAAGATCTTCAAGACGATACCAAACTCTTCACTTATTGTTACTGAGCTTTGTCTGGAAGAAGCATGGAGAGAGGGTTCTTCTGAAAATTGGAATCTGTGAAGTGAAAACTTAAATGCTTTTAAAGAAGTTCAAATTTGAAGTTATTTAGACTCACTTTAGTAATAATATAAAGAGACAGAGTGTGTTTGTGTCGCTGCATGCTTTATACTGACAAATGTAGCAGAGTCTTTTTTTTTTACTCTGTTGAGTTGGGGATCCGTTTTTATTAAGTTTTGAGTATCGAAAATACTTATGGCAAGCTTTCCATTAATTTTTAACGTGAATGACCATGGATTTTGTTGCTATTGACAAATACAGAAACAAATACTTCTGGAAGGCTTTCCATTAATGTGATTATCAGTCAAGCAAGGGTAAGAACTGAAACACTGCACAAGCACATCCTTTTCACAGGATTTATAGATGGAAACAGAAGCAGTTTGTTCACAACATTCAATTTTGTAAGATTGATTAGTACAATGTGAAGCTCACTGCTCAGTTATATGTCCCTATTTATGTATGTTTAATAAACTTGTCAGTTGGTTCAAAATTCTTACTGAAGCTGCAAGCGAAGATCACTACCAGAAGAAGAAAAAAGAAGGAACATAACTAGAAGAAGTAGACAAAGTCAAATAGTACTTGAACAAACATTTTATTACATTAGTTCATTTAAGACAATGAGACACAAACCAAATTATTCCACAAAACCATACCCTTCTGACTGAGAAGTTTGCTTGTTTCTTATGACTTTCACAGAAGAAACCTGAAACATTGCAAAACAAGAAACCAGACAGAACATGAAACCATGTTGGAAAAGCTAACAGTAAAAAAAAAAAGACAGAACTTTAAAGTTGTTCTTTTAAAGGTCGACGTAGTTCTACATAGTCCTGGACATATTGCCCGAGAATCTAAAAACAGAAACGGATCGAAATTTACACACAAAAAAAAAAAGGTTATTATTTTCCTATAGTGGGAAATCCAAAACCGAACCGAAATATCCAAATTTTTTTTTGGTTTTTAGTCTTAGAGGTTTTCGGTTTTTTGGCTTTAAACTCGAACCAAACATGAACTACTCCTAATCGGGTTCACTTTGGTTTTATAATGAAAATAGAAAACCCCATCCGAACCCAACATTATCCAAACAGATCTGATCTGAAAATTGTTACTAAACTGGTCTTAAACACCTAAGCCCAAAAATCGAATAACCGAACCGACTAGAACCAAAAACCGAAATACCCAGCACTAGTTCTACAACATACTAAAAGTCAACCATATGGCTTGTATGTTACTCAGATCTGGTAATGAATGTTACATCTATCACTTTCAATATGTATAAAACTAAATAGATTATTAATATTATTATTATTATAAAATTATATGTTCTTATTGTAGTTAGATGATTAATTTTGGATATAAATTAGATTATTCGAGTCATTCATTTTGTGAGTATATTGAATATAATATATTTTTAAATTAAAATTGAAGAATAATTACTTTTTATTTTAGTTAAGTCAAATCAATTAGTTTTATTTATCTCTTAAATATACATGTATTTTCATAATATTTATTTACTATTTATTTTATTTAAGTCAAATCAAATTAGTTTTATTGATTGCTTAAATATACATGTATTTTCATAATATTTATCAAATTATAGGTTGATTTTTAAAAAAATATTAGAAAATAAAGTGCAACTGATAAGTTTTTGGATGTTCATGAACATATATATTTTTATTATTTTGAAAATATATTTTATGTTATTTTAAAATATATATTAATGGGGTATTACTATTTTGTGAACTTTCCATTTTAATAAAGTCATATTATATACATTTATTTTCGTTTTTAAAATTTCTTCTAAAATTTTTGAAATATTTCCTTTTTATTATATATGTTATTTGGAAAAAGGTAAAAAAAAACTAAATAAAAAATCATAATCTTAAAATCTAACAATTCATTAAGGGTATCTATGTAATCAACCATCGTGAGAGTTAACGTGAGCGCGACACGTAAGAAACTGACTTCTCAAATAATATTATAGAGATTCAAGAATCATCCATGAGGATTAAATCACAAATATTCCAATAAAAAATGTTAGACTATTTACTTTTTATTAGTGAAGAAAACTTCTGATTTCTTTTTTTTTTCTTTGCTACTCTGCATTTTGTAAAAATACCAATACCTCTAATTCATAAAATTATGACTATTTTCCAAAGCTACGTTGCCTTTCCTCTTTTATTTGTGGGGTAATAGAAAACTTACTAGATATGAACAACTGTCCATTTTGTAAAATTGAATAATTTCAACTTTCTCGGAGGTTAACTCCCTGTATATATTGTATGTTGTTTGCTTCTAAGAAGAAAAAAATATACTAGCATTATTCTTTCAAAAGTTATCTTTAGTTTTTTCTTTACAAAATGGAAATCGCGATATCAAACCTTTTCAGCGATCCATTACATCCTGCTTTGATCATATCAAAAACAATATCAAAGACTGATATTGCAGAAAACATGAGATTACCGAAACATGAAATTGAGTCCGTGCTTGCGATCATGGGTGGTGTGACAGCTGAAGAATTGCAAATCGGTAAGAAAGTGGTAATATCCGACTTAGTGGAAGGTGATCAATACGAAGTTTTCTTGAAGTGTTTAAACAACAAAAGATACTACATTGGGGAGGGCTGGGGTAAACTGAGAGATTCGCTAGATCTCAAAGAAGGCCAAACTCTGAAGCTCTACTGGTATCAAGATTTCAAGATATTCGTGATTCTCAATTTTCCTTATAATCTACTAGACTAGAAGTGTAGTGCAAATATGCTTCTTCTTCCTTATTGATTTTTTTTTCCAGTTTTAAATTTCTCTAGCTATGTTTTGGATTTTATTTATATTCTACTACTATTTAAGTGTTGTTTTTATTTTAAGAAAATTTTATTGGAATACCTTGAGTTTCAAAAAAAAAACATCCCTCTCTATCCGACCAGTGGTTTGAACAACATGCATGTCGTCTCTTTCTAAAGTTTCACAAACTGTGGCTACAAAAGCGTGGAATAAGCATTTTTTTTACCAGCTTTTATTAATTGGAAAGTTATACAAATATTGTTTGTACAGACCAAATCGTCGAAAGAGGTAACGGATGATTTCTCAGACCAAATAATAAATCAATTGGCCTCAATGTCTAGAAAGNGGTTGTTGATGTCCAGCACCATTTATGTTTGTTATTAGATTCCAATGAGATGGCTCATGAGTACTTCCATTGACTTCATCGCTTCCATTATCTCTTCGCGATTCTTAGAATTGACAAGCTTTTCGTCGTTCCACCAAAACCCTAACCCTCCTAGATCATTGCGAGCCATACATACATATACCGAGGTCTTCTCTCGCGGCTTTGGTATCACCAAGATGAAAGCCTCTAATCGATTCAGCTGCTTTGCGGTTGAAGACTCACGATAAAAGACATATATAAATATAGTTCTTTTTCTTTATTTGATTTTTATGTTGTTAGTTCTTAGAGGCGATGAGTCTAGAACTTCACAGTCGCCAGCTTAGAATCACACTCAAGCTGTGATCGGTTACCATTGAATTGATAGATAATAAGAAGAAGAGTTCATTGTTTAAAAGAGTTAGAGATAGCTAAACTCTTATCACATTTCCCTCAGCAGTGTGTCCATCTTGTGCAATGAACGCCAGTATCAAGCTGCCAAGATAAGCTCCAATGTCGAAACCCATGGGTCCATAAAACGAAAACTCAGGATCACCATATATATTAGAGCTTGAGCTCTTTTACAGAATGAATACACAATGGTTTAAAAGTAGATTGTAACGGAAATCTTCTAACTCTGCCACAGCCACCAGCACTTCTTCAGCAGCAAGCATTGTTAAGGTGTTGGACTCCTGGAGGTAATAAAAAGACATGACAGTCCATCTTCTTGTTCTTGAATTTTGGTATACAGAGTGTTTTCTAAGTGATCTTTTTGTTTATTTGAGTTTACATTTGCAACTCCTAAACAAATAAGAGAGCATATGGAAGAAGAAGAAGAAGGTTTAACTAATGATGAAGTGAAGAGACATTTACAGGTAACATAACTAAAAAGAAAAGTTAAGGCCTGTTGTTACTAAGAACACATCTTTACATTTTCTATGTTATATGTAAAAGTACCGGTTACATATCAGGAAGCATGATTCGAATCCGGAGAAACAGTCAGAAGTTGTTTTAGGATTTAACTTGTGGACTTCATCACAAGAGGAAGAAGAAACCGGTAAAGATTCATATGGTGATAGGTGACCTCTTCGAATCACAGCTTTAGAACAAATAGATGAACAAGTTGCAGAGAAACATAAACACACAAACTTTTGGCCATAACTTTTGCCTCTTTTTGGCTTTTTCATTAATATATAAAGGAAAAAAACAAGTTAGAGACTCTGTTCCTACAAGTAAGTGAAATGGGAAAGTGGAAGATGTGAATTCCTAAACAACAGGAATACAATTTCTTCTTATTGACTCAGCAAGAAAATAAAAGACTCGATAAATAAAGTTACAAGAAATACTCAAACGTATCTCCGGTTTGGGATTCTCGTACGGTTTGATACTCTTCTCTTCGGTTCAGCTACTGCAATTCCATCACATGGTTTGAAATTATATTTTCAAACGTTCACCTTGTTGAAGCCCACATACAAGTCCCAGCTTATGGTACATTTAGAAGTTTCAATAACATGTAATAGGGTCTCTAGACTGATATAAATATGGCTTTATATGCTTGTAGTTTTTAACCTTGGGCACTGAGAAAGCAGCCTTACCTTCTAAGCTGGAAATATAATCAATGTATGTTTTGTTCTTGAAGGCATAACTAAAGTCTCTTCCTTTCTTTTATTTCTCTGCATAATAAAGCTCTCTGTGCTATTTCATTTTGTCTCAATAAGCTATGTGAGCATCAATCTATCTATGTTTTGAGATTACCACCACGTCCTCGAGTAAAATTTCGGTTCTTTTGTAAAAGCATGACAACCATCATGTAATCAAGAATACTTACTTGGGGAACAAGGCACGTCAAGCTGCAACAACTTCCATATTCCTCTTTCATTTTCTAGCAGTTTTTCAACAATGTGATCCTGAGTTTATGCAGCAGACAAAACCCGTGTATAATTAGATACCGTCATGTTTTGGATTAGATGCTCTCTTAGGTCTTGATAGTTTGACTTGGTCAACAACAACTTTTATTATCTTGCTACTATTGTCAATGAGTGACGTTAATTGTCCAGTTTTAGTAATTGTCAGTTCCCAAACATTCTTCCGTCTTTGTTTTCTTTTAGCGAATACTCAGTGCTCTTATTCGAGGGGGTTGCTGCACTAAGCAGCCGAACACATGTTTGAATATAACTGCACATCATCTGAAAGGGATTTTGAAATGTTTTGTTTATTTTTAGTCTTGCAACAAATACGTTTTTGTGGGTTTCCAGTTTTCATTTGTTTAAGTGCTCTTATTTCTGAGACAAAAGACTTTGTTGATGATCTATATAATGCTAGATTTAAATTAAACTCAGTCATATGTCTATCTATTTATAAGGACTATCCTCATAACTCATAAGTTATGTCATCACCTTGTTTGATCATGTTTCCATGAACATGTACTAAGTTATAACAAATTAACTGATTTCTTGTTTCAAATTTTATCAACACTATTACCATGAGATTTTGTTTTTTTTTTGTAACCTGAACAAAAGCTTCTTCCTTTCTGTATCTGGTATAATGAAAGTTGGGACAACTTGCTGCTATCTCCTTTATTTGTCTCTCACAAAGACACTAGTGGCACGTTTTGATTTAAAGGTAAACTTCTGAAGGTTTTCTTGGTTTTATTTGTCACGTTTCAATCAGACAATGAATCTCTTAAGAGTTTGAAAGAGTGAAACAGATAGTTTTTTTTTTTGTAGAGGCATGGAACGAATGGTTAGCTTCAGACAGAGGTTTTGGGGGAGTAGTGAGCGGTATTGTTGGCTGAGACAAAAACGTGTAGTGTGGTCAGGGACTGTGCGTTTTGCAGAGGTTGGCGTTTTAAGAGGGAAACTGGTTCTCTGGAAAGACGCCAAGGAGAGGGAAGATTTAGGGTTAAAGCCTGATAGTGTGATGATCTTTAATTCTTTGATTGCCGGGAAATTTTCTCATTATGAAATCTGTAGCTGTTATGGTTTGATTCAGGAACCCTTCTTCATATAAACTTGTGCTTGTAACATGATATAATATAAAGAGACAGAGTGTCTTTGTTTCTTTTCATGCTTTGTATTAACAAGTGTAACAGAGTCTCTTTTTTTTTCTCACTCTGTTGTGAGGTGCGGATCAGTTTTTATAAAGATTTGAATATTACAATGGGAAGTTCACGAACCAAAATCTTGTGCATTTCATCACGCATAAACTTAGGATAGACATATTTCACTCCAACAAGCAACATATGAATACACTCTCGTAATCTAGTGTCATTTTACAAAAAAAACAATTATTGGAAAGTTACCCGAAAAAGTATTAATATGCATCCATGTGCATCTATATTCTTGAGAGAAGCAGCGCCTTTCACTGCATCCATGTCTCCTCTTTCTATTTTTCATTACCATCAAAGCTTGGAGGAAGAGTGGCGTTCTGAAAACTGGATTGTGTGAACTGAAGACTCTATAAGATGAAGAGACTTAGTACTATTGCAGTTTTTAACTATTAGTATAAGTCTATAAGATGAAGAGACTGAGTGTGTTTGGTTGTTCTTCAGCTTTGTATTGCAGAGAGTCTTTTGTACTTTGTTGAGGTGGTGTTGGCTATGTACTAGAAGATCCAGCTTCTGTTCACAACATTCAATTTTGTAAGATTGATTAGTACAATGTGAAGCTCACTGCTCAGTTATATGTCCCTATTTATGTTTGTTTATAAACTTGTCAGTTGGTTCAAAATTCTTTCTGAAGCTGCAAGCGAAGATCACTACCAGAAGAAGAAAAAAGAAGGAACAGAACTAGAAGAAGTAGACAAAGTCAAATATTACTTGAACAAACATTTTATTACATTAGTTCATTTAAGACAATGAGACACAAACCAAATTACCTGGTATGAGTTCGATCAATATTCTCACATCTATCCGAGAAAACTGATCGAGCCCAAACCGTGTACATACTCTCAACAAATTACATGAACAATTAATTGTCTCTAAACAGAACAAAAGATTTACTTAGTTATAAATCAAGTCATAGAGCTCATCATCATTAAGAGCCTCAACGACATTGGATGCAAAACATGAAGGAATAGCATCCCAATCAATATCCATGGCCTCCTCTTCCAAGCTTCTTCCTGCAACTTCAGGTAATGATACAAAGTTGTTGCATACAGTCTGATCCTCTTCTTCTTCTTCCTTGTCAGTGTTACTAATCAACTGATCGAGCTGCTCATCACTAAGCTCCTCATCGAATACAAAAACAGTATCCCAATCAATATCCACTTTCTCCTCTTCTACAAAGTTGTTGCTGTTGCAGGTTTTCTCAGATACATCTGCTTCTTCTTCTTTGTCACTGCTGCTAACAACAGGCGGTGGTACTGCAACATCATCATCAAAATCTTGGAGGAGTCGAGTAAGTTCCATCTCGCTCCATTCATCCAAGTCATCGTCAGGTGAAATCTCAACAGCCTTGTCCTCGTGCTCCTGCTCCACCGTTGTTGTTAGGGTTTGATTCTTCAGTGCCTTGAGATGGCTCATGAGTACTTCCATTGACTTCATCGCTTCCATAATCTCTTCCCGATTCTTAGAATTGACAAGCTTTTCGTCGTTCCACCAAAACCCTAACCCTAGATCCATGCGAGACATACATATACCTAAGTCTTCTCTCATCGCTTTGGTATCACTCAAAACAGGAGGAAGTCTATTTCCGGATAGATAAGCAGAGACGATAGAATCAACGGAGGAGTGACCAAAGGAGAAGAAAGAAGCGTTGGAGTTTGAAGACGAAGGAGTCGCTAAGATGGCGATTTGAGCGTGGGAGAGAAGGAAAAGCTGAGCCGCTTTACTGTAGAGACCGTCTCTGCGTTTGGAGAAAGTAGTAGCTCGCGAGGCTTTGTCAGTAATCTTCTTCATATCTGACTTCCTCTTCGTACCTCCTCTTTTCACCATTCTTTCTTTCTTTTTATGAACAAACGAAACCCTAAAACTTTGAAATCGCAACGAAAACCTAAAAGTTTTCAAGTCGCAGCGAAACTAAACAGAAAAAAAAAGAGAGCAAAGTGAGAAAAGCTTTCTATGTCTGGGTAATATTTTATAGGCTCCGTCGTCGTCACAATTAATTATTAAACCGAGACCGGTTCGCTTAAACCTAATTTATTTTATTCGTACCAATGTTCGGTTCGGTTCGATGATTGAGATAAATAAATAAATAAAAATCCAAACAGAATTTTTTTCTTTTCCTCAAATCACTTATTCTCTGTCTTTCTCTCCGAGGGCCCATACTACCTGCCTAACCCTTCGCTCCGAGGGACCGTAGATCGGAAAGCACCCCATTTATCCAAAAGATAAGGGAAGGGGCCTATGTATTTGCATGACCCCTGCGGAGGAACCCCTATCTAGGTTTTCTCTCTCAATTGGTTTCTTGAACTCGGCTTTGTTCTTCATATCCTCCATCGACATCCATGACTAGTAAGAGCATGTACAATAAAGAAAAAAACGTCGACTTTCTTATTCAAACATTTAGATAATTAGTAAATTATTTCAATTGCCAAATAATTTATACAAAGTAAATTAAGCTTGTAAATCAGTAATTGATAATTCTATAAGCTAGAAAAATTGACAATTGAAATACAAACTGCAAATTAATCAATTTTATATGCTAATCACAAGTAAGCGGAAACTCTTTTGGAGTAACCTATAAATTTTAGTTGTGATGATTTTTAAAAATCTGTAAGAAAATAATATGTAATAGGGTTTCTAGACTGATATAAATATGGTCTTTGAGCATCATTAACGCAGATGCTTAAGGATTATATATTATTTCATTCAGACTAAATATTTTAGTCTTTATATTTATTCCTAAAAGGCTTTTAATGAAATATCATTACATGATTTCAATCACCTTCTTTTGAGTTTGTTCAAAGAATGATAGATTTCATCATTTTTCTAATATTTCTTTCTCCATAATACCCTATCTAGCTATTATAATTGTAAGAGTGAGAGATTTGAACTATTTATTATAAGTGTTATAGTTTATCATTTAATAAACCAAAAAGTTTTTAATTTATACATGCTTTATATATACACTAGAATGGTAAAGTATTATATATTTTTTTATCGGTATACTCTTAAGAAACTAAATCTTAAAAGCGTAGGTTAATAAAATAAGTAATTTATTTTGTTGTTTAAAAATTAGATGATTTTTAGACCGAACTGGTGAATATGTACTAGATACACATTTATATTTTTAGTTTGCACTTAATTTGATAACAACTTTATATATTAAATTTGAACAACTAACCTGTGAATAGAGTTTGCCGACGATTTTTTTCAAAAGTTTGATTTTTAGATATGTATCTGTGGTGGAACTAATTTTTACACATGTCCATCTTTTTAAATTGACACTTATATTTTCCCGAATTTAAGAAGAAGTTAAAAAGAAAAAGAAAACTCATATCAATGAAATAAAGACGCGAACGAAAGCACAATTTTATAGAGTAGAAAATTAAATAATTTATGAAGAGTTAATAGTAAACAAATCGAGAGCAGAAAACGTAATCCTCTTTTATCATTTTTATCGGAAAACTTAATTTCTTTTTGTGCATATGAAGCCTAAAAATAATTAAAATGAGTTATGCATTAGGTCTAGGGATTTTACCCTAAGCCAAAATACATACCTAAACCTGAACCGGAAAAACCGAATCTGAGAATCGTTATACAAAAATATCTGAACTGGACTTATGAGCTTAGTACTTTCGGTTTTGGTTATAATCTAAACCGAACCACAATTGAAACTATGATATGTATAATATGTTAATGTTTTATACATGTTAAGGTAATTTATATATTTTATAGTATTCAAAATATTTTTGTAGTTTTTTTATTTGTTTTTAATATCTTTTAGTTAGTTTAGATACTTTTACTAATTTTAAATTAGATTTATTAATAATTTAAATATTTTGAATTTTTTGTCAAATTTTGTGGTTTAAAAAATATATTTTAGGATGATTTTAGATAGAGAAAATTACTAGAATGATACACAAAAGCTTGTATATGACTAGAATAGTATATATTTTCTAAAAATTACTAGAATGTTTTTGGACTCCTAGTAAATTACAATAAACACCCTTGTTTAATTTTGTTACTATTGATACAAATTTTAATTATTAAATCCACATCATAATTTGACAATCCACGTCACTAACTAATTTGTGTCATCAATTACACTGGAAAATCAATAGTCCCATATCTCCGGTGAACAAAAAAAAAGTCTTAATGTTACATTCTTCCCCGTCACAACTCTCGTTAAACCCTAACCGATTACGAAATCCCGAAATCCCGAAATCATCTCCGTCACAACTAATACTCTCGTTTCAAACAGTGTTTCCGATATCTTAAATCATCTTCGTCGACCTCGTTAAACCCTAACCGTCTCCGATATCATCTTCGTCGACATCCTCTTCTCCGCAAAAGTTTCGACGTAATCGTA